CAATTAACTGAATGATATCCATCCAACAGACCAAAAAATGGTATTTGTACACAATAAAAAACCATAGTAAACGAGGGTTACCAAAACCGATAACGTTTAGAGGAGGACAGAAGATTACTACCTGCAAATCCTTTTCACCAGGGTAAGACATGAGTGATGTCACGGAGATCCGGACAATGATATCAAGGACAAACTTCCCCTGACTGTGTTCGTTGAAAAACGTGAATATACATGCTCTGGAGGGTAGAGACTGAAGCTGGTTGCTACCCAAATTGCAATCTTCAACGAGCAATAGATATGTGAAAGACCATCTTGCAAGGAACCATTTGACTGCCTACATAAATTTCTACAATCAATAAATAGGATGAAGTACCAGACTGCAATAATTTTTCTTTTTTAAAATGCCTAGTGACCATGATATTTTGCATGCAGCGGAAGAAACGTAGATATTGTAACCTATTCCTTACACACAGAGCTCCTCAGCCTCCTATGGACAATGACGTGTTTGCGGAAGAAACGTAGATATTGTAACCTATTTCTTACAGATTCAATGGAGTTGACCAATATGGTGATGAACCCAGAGCAGTGGCCGAAGTTTCAACCAGAGCTGGAGGAACTATAAGAACTATAGGTGTCTTTTCCATATTGTGTCATCCGGTATTATCCAAAAAAAAAAAATGTTAGGTCAGACCTGCTGGCCCGGCACGTTCGACAAAGGAATTTACTTTTTTCGTATATTGGCACCTCAATCCTTTACTGGTTCCCTGATGTATTTGGTTAGTTTTGGTTGAATGAAGTGTGTTCGTGACGACAAAAAAAAAATATTACCATAGATATTGGTTTGACCACAAATTGGTTTGACCACGTATTATTTCCCGTCAATAAAAAAAAGGAAGTCATGGAGTATTTACTAACGAGTACTTATGTTTTTTATTTTTTTTGGTCAAAGACGAGTACTTATGTAAACTCAAATTTATATAAATATTAACATTTCTTTGTATATCATTTTTTCCCAAATTATATTTCTGGAATGTTTGTGATCCCAAAAAAAAAGGAGGTAAGATTTGCGTATGGATCATGAATATATTATTTAAAAAATCATTATATATATAGAATTAGTTGAATTTTAAAAATGTATAATTTAGAAAACTGAAAAGTATACGTAAATACACAATCAGAACTCTGCCACACCAACAACCACCAAAAAAGTTGCCGTCTTTTTTTTTTGTGTTTGGTTTTGCATCACAAAGAGTAACTCTGACTATACAAATGCAAAAATGATCATTTCTACTTTAAATTGAAAAAATAATTCAATATGAAGTGTGGCTACTATTTCCTATTTTATCTAATAACTACACAAAAAGTTATTTTGAAGCCAGTCCGAACATTATTC